CCAAAACCTCGGACAATTTGGACATGGGTCAGGATTTGGAACTATTAGGTCGAATTTTGATTTTCATCCCAAACCAGAAACACCCTTGTGAAGGGGATGACCAGCAAGTTCCCCATGTTTTGTTTTTCTGGCTCTGCATTAGGATACAGGGTCTCGACTCGCAGTTTAGGTAAGCTCCAATCGGAAGCGGTCGAAAGCCACTCGGAAGCGGCTCCACTACCATAGGCGAAGACGCATCCCAACTACGCGGTCTTCAACACGTTGCGTTTCAGCCCCCTGGGAGCACTCTTGGAGGTGCCGGTGGGAGCACACCTCGGGGTTTGGAGGGTCGGGGGGGTTTGGAAGTGTGAAGGGTTCACCGGATTGGGCTGGGGAGCTGTTGGTCAAACTAGCGATTGTTTGGTCATATCCTGAGGTCCTCTGATGATCAGATATCTAGGCAAGCTGGGTATGTTGGTACTTTTGGGGCGGTTTGGGCGGTTTGGCAGCTTCAAGATCCAAGGTCCTTCCTCCAATTCTGATCAGACACTGTTCGAATCACGCAACGGTGTAAAGTCCATGGAAAGCACCTGGGAAGCAGTGGTATGGATCAGCCAATCCACCATCGGCAAAGATATGCTGCCACAAATTGATGTGCTGCAACCGTAGCAACCTCCGAGCACACAAACTCAATCCGTGGTGGGTACTCATGAGCTGTGATCGGTTTGTGGGGAGCTTCAGTGCTGCTGCGAAAGGACGATGGATCTCCTCACCTCCCCATTCAAACCGCAGGCTGTTTTTGAGCCCTAAAAACAACCAAGCTCTTTGAGGAGCCCAAGCTCTTGTTGGGACCTTTGGGACTGGGTGACGCCTTTGGGAATGTCGTTCACTGCAGCGCCCTGCCCACTTTGCAGCCTCGTTTTATTGGCTCCAGCAGTCGGAAGCATCGAACAGAACAGCACAGCAGGTGGCATTTCCACGGTGCCCAGATGGAGACGGGGGAAGGACGGTGAAGGATGGTGAAGGACGGATGGATCGACGAGTCGATGGTTTCCCTCCTTTTCCAAGTTCGGCTCAAAAAGAAATTATCTCATCAATGTGGGAAGCTAATGGATTCTTACTATTCTTACTGTCTTAGTGCTTTATATAAGCAAAACCATCGAGGAACTGGCCCATGGCACCTGCAGTGGAGGCATCCTGTTCAAGGCGGGACAAGCATCGCGAAATGCGCCAGGGAAAAAGAAGGTGGAACTGCGAAATTCTCTCTCTCTCTCTCTAGTAACAAAGGGCATCGCTACTAGGAGCAAGGACGCTCTCGCTCTCTCTCTCTCTCTCTGTGTCTGGTTCTAGGTGCTCGAAGAGCCTTTGCTTGACACCCCACCCCAGTTTTCTGCAGGCGTGTGACTAGTCCGTTGTGTTGTGTTCAGAGAAGGGAGTCAGAGATGGACGGATGGGCACTTTGGTGACCACCGAGTCCGCCTTGAAAGGATAGTCCCCCTACAAAACCAGGTTGCTTTCCAGATGTCTAGAGTGTATGTGAGTGTTCAACATCGGACCTCTGCCTTCAGGATCCCTTCAGGATCGGGTGCGGATGCCCCAGATGGCTGTGGGAGCAGCACCTGGAGTGAAGAAGAGAGGTTGACCCTGGATTTTCTGGGCGGAAACCTGGGGGGCACACAGTTTGGCCTAGACATGGTTGGTTGGTGAGAGTTCGGCCCCCTTTGGCTTGATGGAGTTGCCTCAAGTCCTCGTACTTGGTTGTTTGTAGGGTATCAACCTAGGGAACCAGGTCCAATTCTCGTTTCGCACTTGGTCCCAAAAAGTCCAATGCCTTTCCTTTCGGCAGCATCTTGATCAAAGGCCTGACCAAGTCTCTGCGGTTTCAAGGGTTTGATTGGGAATGGATCCACAAAGGCCTCACCACACCCAACGGTTCCCACTTGGAGGAGCAGTGTGTAGGTTCTTGGGTCCTTCATTTTGGAGCCACACGCATGTCCTTCCTTCGGCAAAGGAGCCCACAGAGTTTTACTACCGTATTTCTGGAACAGGATCCAGAAAAGGTCAAACAGTGTCAACCTTCCTGGGCCGATCCATGACATTTGGGGAGTTTGACGACGACACCGAATGTCTTGTGATGGCTGAATGGTGAATGGGGTGAATGTGAAGCAGCACTTTTGTCTTTGAGTGGTCCCATTATGTAGAGAACAAAAACGGTCTCCAGAGGATCTACTATTTCGGTTTCCATCTATTTGGGAGGCCCCTTTGGCAGCATGCTTAGATAAGCAAGTCTCTTCAGTGGGTTCACTCGACATGCAACACTGTGACTGATACTCTAAGCGTTTATGAAGTGGTGCATCGCATGATCGGTTTGGCCTTGGAAGATGCCAACATTCTTTACCCAAAGACCAGGGTTCACCACCTCTCGTTGTGTTTCTGATGAACCTCAGAGTTGAAGCTCAGACGTGGCAATTGGCGGAATGGCTTAGTTGGGCCATTGTGTAGAGGATTCCATGCCTGGTCTCCAGAATGCTGGTTCAATCCCATCTCCGAAAACTGGGTGGTCATTGCTTCCTTTTATGCATAACAAAGCGTCGTCGTTGGAACCGGGATGACCGTCCCTTTCGACCATTTTTACTTTTTTTTTCAGGGACAAGTGTCGACCTGGGTTGATCTGTGGAAAGGGATGCGGAATGACCACGCTTTGCTCGGCTCAAGGAATCATTCTTAAGGTATGAGACCAGCGCCAGGTGTTGAGATGCGCGACCGGGCGGATTTGGGAGGGAGGGGCGGCCCCGCAGGTTCCACAAAACTATCCCCGCTACCCAACAAACAGGCACAGATGGCCTCCATACTGTCTGGGCAAGAAGAAGACACACTCGTGTTTGGCATTTTTCAGCGCAGATCTACCAGCCGCGCGGCCAAATAGCCACACAGCCAACAGCTGCATTAGCCAAGCCGTTTCACCCGAGCGTTGCTTGTCGCCCGCGCACCCGCCTCCATTCCGATCACGGACGTGGACGTCAGGGATTCTTGGATCGATGGAGGGGGGGAGGCTGTGATGATGGTAGTCCTCAAGTCCTTAACGGTACAGGCAAGTGGTCAACGGAACACATGGCTGCCCATTGCGGGTGCCTGCGTGTCTTATGTTTTCTTATTTTTACTTTTCGGAGCCTTATCCACGTGTTGAGCCCGCTTGAAGATGGAGTTCAGAAGACTATCTCCCTGATGGCGTGGGTCTCCTCCGTAGCTGATGGCCAGATGGTCCATATGTGTGGATGTGAATGGACAGCACTAAGCACGTTTTGCAGCTTCCCAACTCTTGAAAGTTGTGCAAGGGCCGCATGTAGAGTGAGATGAAGTTGGGAAGAGAGGTGGGAAGATGTACTATAAAGTTCTAGTCGGTAGGGTATGCTACAAAGACTTCGAGTGTTTTTTTGTTCACCAGATCCGCCAATTCCTGTTCTGGGCACCACACTGAGCTTGATCTACCCTCCCTGGAACAAACATGGAAGTGAAAACAATCTGTTTGTAGAGTAAAAGGATGTTCCAAGCAGTGCTTGCAATGTATTCCACAATTTGACCTACAACTCCAAGATGTTGCATTTGTGACATTAAAAGGAAGTGTTGATTTGCTAGAGTTTTAAGCAACGCTCATTTGCCACACTGAGGTTTGAGGGCAGCTCATCAATCTGCTAGGCCTGCGTGGACTTTTTCATGGGCATCTCATGCATAGGGGGTCGGCTGACTCACAAAAGCAGTGGCTGGTTTAATCCGATGGACCAAGAACTTTGATTCGCGTACAGTGGACATGATTATGCCAGTTGTACTTTGGGCCTGTCATAAGGAGAAGATGCCTTCAGGTATTATAGGACCTGCAGGTCTTCTTTTGCTCATCGATTTGATCTAATCAATTGTGGGCCATTGCGGCCGTTGAGGACTTTGTACTTGGCCAGTCATGTTCACAGGAGTTTTGGAGCTCTGCTTTTTAAGAATTCATGATTGTGTTATCAGCTGATACCTTGGTCTGAAAGCAAGCAGCCAAGTTTTTAATGTAGTAATTTGACCGGACCAAGGCAAGTATGTATCCAGCATACGGCATACGGCGAAACTTGGACATTCCCCGCCACCCCCGAAGCCGGCAGGTGTGCGCTTATTTTCGCAAATGTCCAAGAAGGCACTCGGGTGTTTGCCTCCTGTGGGTCCGGGCATGTTCCTTCTCTTTGGCGACAACCATCCTATGTTCGGGTTTGTCGATTGCCTTCTGATATTCTACAATACATGTTCCAGAGCCTTTGTCAAATCACCGCGGGTCAATCGAACGTGATTTACTTTTAAACCTTAAAGACACAGCCAGGGCTCGTATAGGGGGGTTTGTTCTTGGAGTTGTTGGGCTGGTTCAACCCTGATTCTGATGCTTTGGTGGCTTGCCAACGCAATCAGTGGAGCATGGCAAGACTTCCTACACTGCCAACGAAGACAGAGACTCAATCGTATGCACCTACTAGAGGCTTCGTTCTGTACAAGTCCTTGGCATGGTCAACAGTGTACACTCCCCAGCTAAGTCATGTGGAACCCCAGCTGTCCAGGAATATTGTAGAGGAATATCGGAGATCGGAGGGGCCCAATGCCTCAATGTCCATAGAAACACCAAACATATATTTCAGGCTCGCAAAGTCGCTCTTTTGGGGCACCTATACCCTTGCAATGACTTCTCGTCAAATCCATGTTCCACTCCAGCCTTTTGCTTCAAGTATGGCAAATGCCAGCCAGCGGACATAGAGATCTCAACCACCAAAGGCTTGGATTCTAAGGCAGGACACAGCCACACACTTTCACTTTGATCCCAATCCGGCTGGTAAATTAAGCATTTATGAAGAAGATGAGTCCGCTCTTCAGCCAAAGAACTTGAGAACCCACTAAGCAAATCTTGGCAAGAAACAGGCAAGGGACGGAGCTCATTCACTTCTTACATCGCCTGAAATAAACTCCGCAGGATTCACAGAAGTTTTGGTCTGCTTGCTCTGCTCACTTTCCAGTCTTTGGTCTCTTCGGTCCATGATGGTCGGTGGGTTTTAACCACGCTGCGCTTCCGTTTTTTCCACATGGCCTCCACAGCAGCACCGCCGAGTCGCGGCGCCCTGCGCGTGGCTGTGGGCAGTGTGGTTCTCGTGAGTTTTGGTCTTGAAGCTTGGTGCAGTTGTAGCCATGGAGCAAAGCTTTCCCAGTTGGGTTTTAACTTTTTGGATCGGGGTGAGATTTCATGATCCTCACCTTATCCTCCTCCTCCTCCTCCTTCTTATCCTTCTTCTTCTTCTTCCTTCTTCTTCCTGCCTCTTTTCTTCTTCTTCTTCTTCTTCTTCTTCGGACCATAGATTTTCCAGTGCCCATGAAGCAGTGGGGCTCAAAATGGGAGTCAGAACCAAAGTTGGGAACAAAGAACCTTAGGGACCAAGGAGTACTGACACCTCGGCCGTGACTCTGTTGTTCTAGCTTTTGTCTTGGGAACTTACGTGTGAACTGAACTGATCCCAAGACCGCGGTAAACGGATATTTATCTAACTTGGCCATGGTGGCCGGACATGATGCTTGTGTTGGAACGAAGCCATAGCGAACTGGGCCGTACTTGGGATGGATGAGCAATCTAAAACCTCCGAAAAGTAGCCGTTGTTTTGCTGGATGTTTTTTCGATTTTTCTTTGGACGTTTGTTTCTTCCAAACCAGAACTGGAGTCTGGTCCAGTTGGCCCAGGTACAGTGCGCTCAGTGGAGTTTTGTCACTTCCCATCGCGATTCCCGTGGTGACCACAACTGCCTGCGCCGCTGGCTGCGCAGACGCGTTGCGCGTGAGGCAGCCACGGCAGATCTGGATCTGGATCTGATGCTAACCTCCCCGCCTGGCAGTGGCCTCTCAAGATACAAAGGCGTGGACTGTGTCTTTAACGACCAAAGCTCTACTCCCTCCCTCTTTGTGCCGCCCAAACTCGGAGCAGCTGGTTCAGATAGAAATCGAACGGTTCACCTGAGTGGGATCTGAGAGGCAAACCGAACTCAACAACTCCAGAACAGCCGCCAAAGTCCTTCACCCGACGGATCCTCGTCACCGGCCGTCGTGAGGCACGGGCTTCGACCCGGAGGCCTGCGGCGAGGCCTGTGAGGCGCTGGCCGAGGCGATTGCCAAGGGGAACCAGCAGCAGGCGGCGTGAAGACAGCACCGTGTGCTGCGGGCCCGGGGGAGGGAGATTGCTGGAAGAATTGTGCTTGAAAACAGTTTGCTTTGGGGGGATGAAGAGCCTGTGTTAGAGGGCAAGTTGCGATTTTGGTTTGGCTTTGCATAGATGGAGAGCATGAGCTGACCTGATTGCGGGTTTGAACTCCACTCAAGGACTTTTAAAAACTTTAAGACGACATTCACTTGTCTATCAGTTTTGCGGTTGCTTTTGTTGCATCTCAGGAGTGCAACAAATTGTAGGTCCTGTTCTTAGTGCCTTTTTGAGAAGGTTCTTCTCAAGAGGAAGGAGCAGTATTCAACCTTCAATCACAAGACCAGATTTTCCATCGCTCTTGTCGCATCTAACTTTTATTGCACCAAGCATCAAGCCATTCTTCCACAAAGGGACTCCCAACCCAATCTCACCTACCACACCCTCTCGTCAGGGACAACTGCCCCGGAACTCCAGTCTAGGTGGAGAGCCTCATTTGCGCGCTCAAGCTGATGATGCCACCAAGCAGCGGTGCTGAGCAGGCCTTAGGCGGGAAAAAAAGCATCGGAGATGCTGGAGTTTCAGTGGGGTGAAACCGCGGTTGACCGGTGCCGTTTCGAGGTTTCGGATTGGAACGGCTTAGATGGAATCCTGGCAGTGGAGCAATGACCGCTTTTGCTGGGTGCAACGGGAGATCGAGCAGTCACGAGCAGTCGTTAGCGACGTCACTGACGGGAGCTTGGCTCTCGCTGCTTCCCCCAAAAGTGGAGGCCCACCGCGGGACAACTTCATCTTGCGCCCGGAGGAACTCGATTGGTCCGAGCAGGACTTCCTTGGAGGTTTGTGGGCTGCAACCGTGGGTGTGACAGGTGTTCTTCGCGAGATGAGTGAGTGATCAGGGATCCGTTCACGCTTTAAAGGACGAAATAATGGACTGTGTTTAGCACTAGTTCCTAGTGACAGCTTTACTGTCTCATCCAACAAATAGACAGAGACTATGTCGAAGGCAATTCCTCCAGGAAATTCCAAGAAATTCCAATTTCTCAAACACTTGGCTCATATGCAGTGACGGGTGGTTTGTGGGTGCTCATCACATCTGCAGAGTCTCTTGGAGTTTCTGCCTTCTGTCTTTTTTGTTTCTCCCTGCGTTGCGCAACGGCCAGCTGGGCTGATGAGTGGTGGCAATTGCTCTGACCGAGAAACCCATATACACTGTATATCATATCTATCATATCATAGCATCAATTTTCCCGCATTCTTCCCAGCTCTGAAAAAGGTGAATGCTGAAGGCTGAAGGACAGTGCTCCAGCAAAAAACGAGCATCCCAGTTTCAGTTGGCCAATTTGGTTGCAGTTGGCCAGACACTCGTCCAATACACTCGTGAGAGACAGTCCTTCCTGGTCTCAAGGCCTGGAGGAGAACCAGCGCATCGTCCAGGAGTGCGAGGCCAAGTTCGCACGGCTGGTGGCACAGCACCCCGAGGGCTTCCGAGCCCCAGAGGTCTTGGCCAAGGGCTTGGACCTGGCGGTGGTTTACCTGAGCCATGGTGATTGGATGAGGTGGATGGTGAGTTGGATGGGGTGGATGGGGTTGTTGTTTGCTTTGGGTTTTCGGGGCTGTGAGATGATTCCAGCGGTTTTTTTTGTCGTTTTTGTCCTGGGAAGAGGTTCAGACGCGGTCTTGGAGCTGCAGTTTGATGTGGATCCCAAAGTTGCAACCTTTGACCTCCGTGGGTATTTTACATTTTGTAAGAATGGGAGAACGATGTTTTCTGCCACAACAACGCACCCATTGACCTCATGCTCCAGAGCATATGAGCCACCAGAAAGGGCCTGTGCCACCTGTGGAGAATTGAGATCCTGGAAATAGACTCCACATTCAGGGGTCCATCCCAGCTGTGCTACGTGGTCCATGATGTGAAGAAAGCGAAATCCCCACGTAGCCACTGCCGACGCTGTGGATGCGATTTCGCCCGATGTCAGGAAGAACTACGCGCTCGACAAGGCCGACGCCTTGTACGAGATCACCAAGCCGCATTGCCTCTCAAGAGGTTTGCCTTGGAACGTGTGGCTGGGCCACCAATTGCGATGGATTTTTCTCCAGCCTTTTGGGATTTTGCTGGGGATTTGGTCATTTGTTAGGCCAACAGTTTTTTTTGCATTTGATGGGCTTGGAATTACCACTGGAACGTCAAATCGCACTTCCTGACGCCTCGGCCGAAGCTCAGGAAGTGGTTCCAAGACTGCGCGACGTTGCGGTGCAAGCAGAACCGCCAAGCGGAGGTGCTTCAGTCGATGAACAGTTGGTTGAGGAACATGTACAGTCTACGGTATATACAATAATAGTATATAACAATATGTATTTGGCATATGTAATTTTTGTTGACAGATGATTACAATTCCATTTGAATACACACTTGGGGCAGACCACCTGGTTCAGCTTGCCACCTGCTTCGAGGGTTCTGACTCCACGGGTTCGGTTCGAGGCCGCGCCCATGCTGGAAGAGGTGGCCAAGCTAACGCCGCCGCACGAGGCGACTTTGAGGACTGCGTCCGGGGTGCTCTTTGGTGAGGACCAGAGGTATTGGTGGGATGTTCTTGCAGTATTTTTCGGGGATTTGGTTAATCGACGCAATGGAAGACCACTGTAGTACAGTCCTTTCTCTGTTTCGCCTAGCCGATGTCAGGTGCATTACCTTTGTTCCTAGTAGCTTCTTGTTACCAGTAGCAATGGCCTCCAACCTCCTGGCGATGGCTAGTACCAAAAGCAGGAATTTGGGCACGGTTTACAACCAGCTGCGGGAGCACGACAAGGCGAAGGTCTATTTTGATGCGGCGGCAGAGCTGGTCGGTCACTGGGACTCTGTCAGATCGATGACTTGCGACCCCCGAAACCAACGGATTCACGTGTATCTCTTAAAGGTCGGGCTGCAAGGTCGGGTGCCCCCCCCAATTCCGGTGCCCCTATTCACCATTTGGGGGCGATCTCAACCCACCCCATGTGGGGTATGGCAACCAATGTGTCCATCCACGCCTATTCTGCCAGACCTCTTTCCGGACCTCTTTCTGCAAGACCCCCTTCTGCAAGATTTCCTTCTGCAAGACCGCCCATCTCCGAGTCGCCGAGACCCCCTTCTGCGAGACCGCTTCTTCGAGAATCCCGTTTGCAAGACCCCTTCTGCGAGATTTCCTTCTGGAACCACCCTCTGCGAGACCTTCTGTTCGAGACGCCCTAGTGGATTCATGTCTGCTTTCTTTTCTGCCGGGATTTCAGGGCATGTCTTGCAACTAGCCACTCACCTTTTGGAGTGGGTGCATGTGGACAAGACGGAACGTCATGGAATTTCATGCACTTCGGAAGCTGAACCACCCGTGGAAGCAACAGTGTGACCCATAAGCCATGAACTCAAGATATTTGCGGTTGTGGTTACTACATCCTAGATTTTTGGAATACCACGCATTCCCTTGTCATGGGGCAGAAATTAGTTTTCAACTGTTGGTAATTGAATCACACTCCCAAGGCGAGCGCGACAGCAATGGCAAGCTCATTCTAGACAAGGAGGCGTGATGATCAATATGGCTTGTGGTAGGATCATGTTGCGAGAGGAAATCTGGCAAGCCACCCAGGTCAGGTCCATCGAGTTTCTTTTTTTTTTGTCACATCATACATTGATACACCATTTTATCAGGGCGGAAAAGGGTGGCTTGGGTTTCAACTAAACATTTTGCGTTGACCAGTCTAGAGATAGGTGTTTGGATGGGGCAATCTTGGTTGGTGCTTTCTCCTTCCAGGGCAACAGTCACTGAACCCCCAACCAGAAGACCAAAACCTTATTTCTCCAAGTCTACGCCTTCAAGTCCAAGTCTTCCACGTAGGTGGAACACTTCACAAATCCAACTTCGAGAGGATCTTTGGAACATTGGCCTGGTGCACAAGAACAAAAAGAACTACGCGGAGGCTGCGCCCATGCTGGACCAGGCACCAAGAATTCTTGCAGTGCCGGGACTCTGGGATATCTAGAGGCTCTAGGCTTGCCACGTCTCTTGTGTGATCGGGCTCTAGAGACATGCCTCAGGATATTCTTTTGGGAGGATCAGTCCCATAGGTGCATAGCCGCGACCGATGTACCGATGGGACAATGATAGCAGCGTCCTTGCTCCTAGTAGCGATGCCAGGAGCCCCTAGTAGCTTCTTGTTCCTAGTAGCGATGCCCTTTGCTCCTAGTAGCGTCCTTGCTCCTAGAAGCAATGATAGATGTTACGGCGAAATTCCAACTAGTGTCCTTGGATGGCGCTGCCGTCTTGTTGAAGGTGAGGATCGGGTCGTCAGGTCGTTGGGGTCGCGTCACGGGTCCAGTGGCAACGGGACTTTTCGACCCGATTGTTTGAGTTCACATTGGGAGGCTTGTATGTACGTATCTCCTGGGACTTCCAAAGGAGGACCAAGCCACTTCTCGAGTGCGAAGGTGTGTCTTGGTGCGGGATCGTGGCATTCTCCCCATGTCTTGATAAGGATGTTGTTACACCCTTCCGAAGCACGTGGTCCAACTCCAGGTTGATGTGATGCACCGAGGTCAGAGACCAAAAGGCAGCCAGTCCAATGCCAGATGGCTATCGGGGGGGGGGGAGAGTCCGCTAGAGGTGTTTTCGTTCGACCTGTCATGTGGTTCAGAGGTGTTTTTCGTTCCTCAGCAGTCGAGGTTTCGGTTCCTTCGATCACGGTCGCTCCGACAAACCATCTCTCAGAGAGGCCTTGGAGAAGTGGCTCAAGGAGGATCCCGAGGACGCGTGTTGGACAGCTGGGCATGTGTGCGGATGTGATCTGTTGGAGTGATGATGAGCTCTTCAAGGAATGTAGCAGGAGTGTTTCCAGCGTGTTGATGTGCACCAAGTCGTTCAATTGGAGGGAAATCAGGACTTTTGGCCTCATGTTCTTGGAATAGCTGGAGTTTGAAACCAGCATGCTCCATCGAAGTCGAGTTGCTGAACTGAAGGTCTGCTTTTGGGGATCCAACCCAAAAGGACCTTTTCCTACCACTCCCTCCCTCCCTCGCTCGCTCGCTCGCTCTCTCTCTCTCTCTCTTTCTCGCTCTCCCCTGCTTTTGGTCCCTTAACAACCTATAGGCACACGTTCAGGCAGTGACGCAGTGTGGCCCTTTCAGGTCCAAATAGCCTCCAGCGACTTCACCTTTGCGACTTCTGCATACAGAACTCCCACAGCTACCCCTATACTCGAGCCAGGGTAGCCCCTATCCCGGGGCCTAGGGAGCTAGCCTAGCGCTACCCATAGGCCTATCCTAGGCCTATGCCTAGGCTAGGCATAGGCCTACCCTAGACCTATGCCTAGGCTAGGCATAGGCCTATTGTAGGCCTATGCCTAGCGCTATCCATAGGCCTATCCTAGGCCTATGCCTAGCGCTATCCATAGGCCTATCCTAGGCCTATGCCTAGGCTATCCATAGGCCTATCCTAGGCCTATGCCTAGGCTAGCCATAGGCCTATCCTAGGCCTATGCCTAGGCTAGCCATAGGCCTATCCTAGGCCTATGCCTAGGCTATCCATAGGCCTATCCTAGGCCTATGCCTAGGCTACCCATAGGCCTATCCTGGGCCTATGCCTAGGCTACCCATAGGCCTATCCTAGGCCTATGCCTAGGCTACCCATAGGCCTATCCTAGGCCTATGCCTAGGGTATCCATAGGCCTATCCTGGGCCTATGCCTAGGCTACCCATAGGCCTATCCTAGGCCTATGCCTAGGCTACCCATAGGCCTATCCTAGGCCTATGTCTAGGGTATCCATAGGCCTATCCTAGGCCTATGCCTAGCGCTATCCATAGGCCTATCCTAGGCCTATGCCTAGGCTAGCCATAGGCCTATCCTAGGCCTATGCCTAGCGCCATCCATAGGCCTATCCTAGGCCTATGCCTAGCGCCATCCATAGGCCTATCCTAGGTATGCCTGGCGCTATCCATAGGCCTATCCTAGGCCTACCCGCCGTCTTGCCTTCCTCGCTGTCTTTTTTTGTCATCCTCCTTCCCTGTTCTTTTCCTTCGCACTCTCTCTCCCTCTCTCTCTCTCTATCTTTTTCTTCGTCCCGCCTCCCTCCCTCTCCTTCCCTCCATCTCCTGGTGAGTCGCTGCCTCCCCGTCCATCCTCCTCCCCGTCCTGCCGCCTCTGTCTCCCATCCTTTAAAGGCAATCCTGTGCTACGGGTGCTCCGAGCGGCCTTTGCAAGGTCAGTCTGTGCTACGGGCAGCCGGCCGTGGGGGCCACCCCAGGATTTGCCGCGAACCGGGCTGATCGCCATTGAAATTGTATTAAAAGTTTGACAAAATCCGGCGCCCGTCCAAAATTGGAATTCGACCGGCAATCCTGTGCTACGAGAGCTTTAGAGGCAATCCTGTGCTACATCCTCTGCTAGGAGAGGGCTTTTAAGGGCAATCCTGTGCTACGAGGGTGCTTTTAAAGGCAATCCGG